GCAAGCCTGAGGCCCCTATTGGGGAAGCCCTGGGGAGAGTTACTGGGGTTCTTGAGAGAACCTCTCCCTCAGGACCTCCCGGATGCACACCGCAACCTGATGGACCTGACAGATGGCAGCTGTCCACGACTGCTTGAAGGCTCACCTCTTGCGGCCGGCATCTGCCCCCCCACACCAGGAGGAAGGCCTCCCCCTTCCTCTCCATAATGTTGTGGAGGACACAAAATGCTGTGACCACCTTGGAGATGTTGTGCTCCCCCATGTCCAGGTGGATCAGCAGGCATCTGAACCATGCCTTCAGGCACCCAAAGGCGCACTCAACTTGTATTTGGGCCTGGCTGAGGTGGGCATTAATTTGGTCCCTAATAAGGTCCGGGTGGCCTGTGTACAGCTTCATTAGCCATGGCATCAGGGGATAAACCACATCCCCCATGATGCACAGCGGCATCTGCATGTCCCCAGTGGCAAGTTCACAGCAGGGGAAGAATCTGCCCACCTCCAGCTTCCCGTACAGGCTAGAGTTTCTGAAGCTACAATCATCATTGCCTTGCCCGACCACCCAACAAAAATGTCCATGAAATGTCCACAGTGGTTGACCAGGGCCTGCAGCACCATTGAGAAGTAGCCCTTGTGATTTATGGATTTGGTTGCTCAATGCTCTGGTGCACGGATCAGTATGTGGGTCCCGTCAATAGCTCCACCACAGTTCGGGAACCCCAAAGCAGCAAATCCGGCCACGATTGGGTCCTGATCTCCCACCCCTACTCCATCCTCCAAAGCCCTCAACCCCCCTTTCCAGATGGTCCCTCTTTTTCAGAACTACTCTTCCCCCAAGGACTGCAGCCCGTGAGTGCCTTACCTCCATGTGCCGATTGGGTCCTGATCTCCCACCCCTACTCCATCCTCCAAAGCCCTCAACCCCCCTTTCCAGATGGTCCCTCTTTTTCAGAACTACTCTTCCCCCAAGGACTGCAGCCCGTGAGTGCCTTACCTCCATGTGCACTTCCTCACACCAAACTGGTTGCCCACCGACTGGTAGCTGTCAGGGGTGACGAGCTTCCACAGAGCGATTGCTACCCAGTTCTCCAGGGGGATGGTGGGCTGCAGGTGGGTGTCGCATCTCTGGAGGGTGGGGGCAAGCTAGACACATAACTCCAAAAAGGTGGCCTTCCACATGGATGTTTTGGAGCCACTGCTGGTTGTTCCACTGCTCCATGACCAGCCAGTCCCACAAGTTGGAACTGGTGTTGAGCCTCCAGAAATGCCTCTCCACAGTGGGTTGCGGTTGCCAGGGTGTAGCTCCCACACTCAGGAAGAGGGTCCCCAGAATGACTTTGGGATCAAGCTTGGACAGGACCAAGAAGGCAGCTGGCACAAAGTACTGCAAAAACTTCAGCATGATCGTGTGGGGTCATCACATGCCCTGGGGCAGCTCCAGCTCCATGGCACAAAGGAAAAAGCTGTGGCATCTACAAAAGCAGGGCAACCACAGCAGGAACTGTGAGAGCTTTGCTGTCGCTGGGAGAGATAGGCAAGCACGCAGCAGAAGCAGAGAAACGGCTGTCCGGAGGAGGGGTTCCTTTAAGCGCATGTCTCTGCAAGGCTCCAGCAACAACATTCAGAAGCAACTAGTGATCTAAAGGCCTGGTTGAAGTGGTTCTGGGTGGCCTTTTATGTGAGAGAGTGTCCAATCAGTGTGGATGCTCTCTTTCAAAAAAAGCGCATTGCTTTTTCCATACGCTTTTGTATGTGGACGCTCTCTTTCAGAAGAAGCCTGCAGTCTAGACTGCACACTAGACCCGAGTATGGGTCACTGTCTCATGGAGTGGCACTTAGACCATGTACCATGATAGATAAGAACAAAGGAGCTCTATAGCCTAAGCTGGGAGCCAGCTAGCTTTATTGCTCAAGCTGTAAAGGCTCCTACACTAAGCTCTGGAGGTTTCAGGTTCATATCTGCCTGGTGGTGGTTACATTGGTACTGGTCTTGATTGCAGGGGTCAGTTCCTGGATGAGGTATGTTGTGTGGTTAGTGAAAAGGATTTGTTTTAGGTTAAGGGGTTGTCTGTAGGTGAGGATTGGCCTGTCCCTCAACACCTGTAAGAGTGAAGGGTCATTTTTCAGGATAGGTTGTAGATTGTTGATAATGCATGGGAAGGGTTTAATTCAGGGGCTGTAAGTGATGACAAGTGGTGTCTATTGTTTTCTTTTGGGGGCCTATATTGAAGAAGCTGATGTTTGGTTACAAGATATATTTACTCTGAAGGCAAAGAGTTGGCAGTTCCTGGGCCATTTCTGTGCTATGAATTCCTAATCAGCTGGAAACTATCTTCTATCCAATCCTGCACAGCCACAGCTGTGCTTTTCTTTGTCATCATCACAGCTGTACCTGCATAACTGAGATGAAAAACTGTTTTTACTGTAGAGCTTGTAAAAGTACTTCTCTATTGTAGTATTACTGTTTTCCTCCTCTGAAAGAGGTCTGTTGGTATATCAGACTCTATTTGTCCCAACAGAAGTTTGAACTGGGGACACATCATCTTCCTAAACATTTTAGTAATGTGCATCTGTCTGTTCATCCATCTGAGTTGGTTTATTCAAGAACTCCTAAATGGTAAGAGCTATGACCACTAAATTTGGTGTGCAGCTTCCTCTTATCATAACCTAAAGCACAAGGTCAGGGGTTAGTTGGCTCAGGATAATGCGATGTGCATGGAATTTGATTTTTTTCTCATAAAATGGAAAGGGAGGGGTCTGATAGGAGGGAGTTATACTTCAGAATGACCACAGGGGGGCAGCAAGGCACCAGAGATGGGGAGAGCTATAACTGCTTTGGGTCAGCAGAGCAGAGGGATGGAGAAAGGGAAAACTATCTACTATATATTTCAGAGAGTTTATCTGTGTGTCTGTCTGTTCCCCAGCTGTGAGACATGCATCCCTCCCCTAGCTGTGCCCACTGCAGCTGCAGTGGCCATGGACAGGCACTTTTCATCTTGCCCCAGTATGCTGCGATGAGAGAGTGTGTTGGGATTATCCTCTTTCCTTGGGGCAGCCTGCATACTGAACCTCTCACACCCCCAACTCCACCCAGAACAATGATTTAAATGGAAAAAAAAACTCATTTGACTTAACACCAGGTAAATTTTCTAGTAGTGCAATAAATATGAGCCTTTACAGTGTGAACTGAACTACTGGGTCTTAGTTGGCTGCTATTGCTGACTCATTAAGATTCTTACATTATCTACTCAGTGGGATGGTAGTGGGAGCAAAGGTGAGTGTGATTTACACTGCCAGTTCTCACAGAAGAAAATGAATCACTAATTATACAAGAAAATTGCTGTTTTGAAATAAGCTAGAGGCCACTGAGCTCTCCTGTTTCTCTCCCTCACAGGTGTTATCACTAGCTTCTAGGCTCATTGCTCTTGAGGGGTGAAGGGTGAGGTGCTGTCCACATCTCCCTTGTTGCCACTGTCCCTTGGGCACTTTTTGCTTATTGCTCATACTTTGGCCTCTGGAGTTTTGTGATGGGGTTCAGGGGCGACTCTAGGACCTGCTCCCAATGCCAGGATTGGAGCAAGGAGGAGCCTGGGCTGTGCTGCATAACAGGAGTACTCTGTCTCTGCTGCACTCCTTCCTGGCTCCCACAGCAGCACAGGCTACCAGTTCATTGCAAAAGTCTCAGAGGGGTAGCCTGTCACTCTGTCACTTTTTTAAAACAACCAGCAGGCCTGCGGCATCTTAGCGAAGACTAACAAATACATTGCACCGTGCGCTGTCCTGGGTAAAACCCACTTCACCAGATGAAAATACAAACAAACCAGGACTATGTAGCACTTTAAAGACTAACAAGATGGTTTATTAGGTGATGAGCTTTCGTGGGCCAGACCCACTTCCTCAGATCAAATAGTGGAAGAAAATTGTCACAACCATATATACCAAAGGATACAATTAAAAAAAAGTGAACACACATGAAAAGGATGAATCAAATTTCAGAACAGAAGAGGGATGGGGGGAAGGTAAATGTCTGTGAGCTAATGATATTAGAAGTGATAATTGGGGAAGCTATCTTTGTGATGGATAAGATAATGTCTTTGTTTAAACTTAGGCGTAAAGTGTCGAATTTAAGCATGAATGTCAGTTCAGAGGATTCTATTTCAAGTGTGGTCTTAAAAGGTCTTTGAAGCAGGATGCAGGTAATCAAGTTGTTAAGACAATGAATGTCCCTTCTGGTTGAAATGGCAAGAAACTGTTTTTTCTTTGTGATCCTGTCTAATATCTGTTTTGTGGGCACTGATTCTTTGGCGAAGTGTCTGAGACGTTTGTCCAATGTACATAGCAGATGGACACTTTCGGCACATGATAGCAAATTATATTTCTGGATGAGCAGGAATATGTATTCTTGATCTTATAACTCACTTGGTTAGGTCCAATGATGGTATCAGCAGAGTGAATATGTGGACAAAGCTGGCAACATGGTTTGTCGCAAGGGAAGGTACCAGGGTACACCCTGCTTCAAAGACCTTTTAAGACCACACTTGAAAGAGAATCCTCTGAACTGACATTCATGCTTAAATTCGACACTTTGCGCCTAAGTTCCTCCCCCTGCATCCCTCTCCTGTTCTGTAATGTGATTTGTCCTTTTCATATGTGTTCATTTTTTTTAATTGTATCCTTTGGTATATATGGTTGTGACTATTTTCTTCCACTGTTTGATCTGAGGAAGTGGGTCTGGCCCACGAAAGCTCATCATCTAATAAACCATCTTGTTAGTCTTTAAAGTGCTGCATAGTCCTGGTTTTTGTTTCGGCTACACCAGCCTAACACGGCTACATCTCTATCACTATTAGTCAGATGAGTTACACTGAGCGCCCAGCAAGGGGCGCAGCCAACCACTGTCTCCCAGTAAGAGACGCTCTAGCAACACGCGTCCAGTCTCTCTGACCTCGTCGGTCGGCCTCTCTAGTCGCGGCGATTGGAAGATCCAGACGCCAGTTCCGCTTCCGTTTTTTGCCCAAACTTCCGCTAGTTTGACTCAAGGGGCTGGTGCGGCTGAAGTCAGCGGGAACTACTGAGGCGCTGGGTGGGAGAGTCCATTGTGGGGGGCGGTGGGGGTGAACGGAACAGACCAATCGTGCGAGAGCGGTTACAGCCGGGTGCGTGCGCCGCTGGGACCTCTCACAGCCTCGGCATGGCGGCGGCGGCAGCTTCTTCCCAGCCTAAGAAGATCGTGGCGCCTACCGTGGCGCAGATCAACGCGGAGTTCGTGACTCAGGTGAGGGCGGGGGATCTACCCTCTCCAGCCCGTTCTGCGGCCGAGCGCCGTGGGGTGGGTGGGAGCCGTTCGCTGCCCCGCCCGCGCCCGCCGAGGTTGGTGCTTAACGGCCCCCGCCTAGTGAGCCCCGCCCCCTCCCAGTGCCCGGTGTAAGCGCGGCCCCGCCCCTTGGCCTTGTCAATCTCGTCCCGTTGGGCTCCTGGCGTTGGCGGCATCCCTGGGCAGCGCCCTGCTCTGGTGCATCAAGCCTGGCGCCGAATAGTGCCCTGCCTTGTCCGCGTGTCCATCTGCGCTCCCCGAGCGCTCGCCCGCGGGCCCCGGAATCCCAGGCTCCCCGACGTGCCCTGGCCGAGTCTGAGTGCACGCTGCTCAGCGGGGGCTGGCCTGGGGTCTTGAATCGCCTTCTGTGTATCGAAGCTGTGAGAACATAAGAAGGGTCATGCTGCGTCAGACCATCTCGTCCAGTATCCTGTCTGCAGACAGGCCAATGCCAGGTGCCCCAGAGAAAGTGAACAGAATAGGGAGGCATCACGGAGTTGCCTGGCTCTTGGGTTATTGTTACAAGCACAAGGGCTAAAATTCTGTTCGTCAGGTGACAGCTTTACTTATTTCTGCGTATTGAGTCTTATAAGGGCAGCATTGTAGTTCTGCTATGTTGGCATAGGTGCTTACTAGAGTGATGGAAAGGGTTTTCCATCACTGTAATAAATCTACCTATGGATGTTAACTATAGTTTAATTGACTAATCAAATAGTCAATGGAATTTCCATTGACTACTCAATTAGTCTGGTGGGGGGACACTCACGCTGTGGTGCTGTGCTTTAAATGTAGTAAGAGCCCACCAGGCTTTTACTACATTTAAAGCATAAAGTCGCAATGTCCCAGGGCGAGCAGAAGCCGATGCTGGCTTAAAAGCCCATTTTCTCCCAGCACCATCTCTGCGGGGTCCAGGGAAGCAGGGGGATAGTGGGGACTGGGCGCAAACTGAGAATCAGCTGATTCTCCTGATCAGAAGCATAGCAATGGGGACCCTGTGCGAGCTGGGAATCAGTTGTCCCAGCTCGTGCAGGGTCACCTCTGCTGTGCATCAGCCTTTTAAATGTATTAAGAGCCACTTAGGCTCTTAATACATTTAAAAGGTATAGTCACAGTGGGGTTACCTTCTATGGCTCCCTTGCTTATCCATCCGACTAATCAATTAGTTGATTAAACAAGATTTAACATCCCTAGCTGGAACTGTTCAGTCCTGGCTTGCACTGTCCTGGGAGCTAACGCCAGAGTGGGTTACACTGCAGTAGCTCTTAGGACAGCACAAACTGGGACTGAACAGTCCTAGTTTGTGCTGCCCACAGGATGCAGTGGCTCTGAACTTTAAATGTAGGAAGAGCCTGCTGAGTTTGTAGGATATTTAAAGTTCAGAGTTGCAGCAGAGTTAGCTTCCTGGTTTGCACCACCCGTGGAACCCTGAGGCTCTGCACTTTTTAAAAGTAGTAAGAGCCCAGCAGCCTCTTACTACATTTAAAGCGTAGAGTTGAGGTGGACTTAGCTCCCGGGGGTGGCTCACATTGCCCCTGGGACCTTGTGGCTCTGCCTCCCCTGCCCCCCTCCTGCACCACGGAGATTGTTGTGGGGGGAAGCCAGCTTTTAAGCAGTGGGGAGTGGGAGAAGCGAGTAGTCAACTGCTTGACTAGTCGCTTACATCCCTAAATCTAGCCCATTAAAAGTCATAATTTGCCCATTGTTGCAGCAGTGTCTACACCGGGATTACATCAGTTTTAACTGTCTTTTTCATACCCCTGACTGACTTAGTTGGGTTAACCTAAGTTTTGATTGCAGTTTTTAACTCAGGAGATATTCACAAAACATGTATCAGAAGCTGTCTGTTTATTGTAGGCAAGTGGATTTTTCACATTCTTGTTGCATTAGTATATGCTACTGTACAAGATCTCTGACAATCAGTAATATATCCTCTGATTTGTGAAAAAAATTGTAATGGTACAAAATAAGCAAAGCATAATTGGCTGAAGCTTCAGTATAATTGCAATATATCATGAAATAGGTGGGTTGTGAGGGTTTTTGTGTGAATTTCTGCTCCACTCTGTCAAATGTATTCTCCCTTGCTTCACTCAGAATGAAGCTTGCTCAATGATGACCATGTATCCTGTAGCATCATTATCTCATTAACTTTGCTGAGTCAGGGGATGGGGAGTAGTGAGGAGGTGCTAGGTCTTCAGCAGAAATCCCTTTCCCTTCTCTGAACATCCACACATCTCTGAAATTTCTCAAGTGGTCTTAGAATAGCTGTTTGGGAGGAGGCTCATGATGTATGCATGCATTGTGGGGAGCCCACCTGCCCTTTCTTTCTCACCATCAAGATGATTTAGGAGAAACATGTAGTCCTCAAGTGCAAGAGCTTTTTTTCCCCCCAGCTTGGGCCTTTCCACAACATCTGTGATGGAATGCATGACTTAGCATCATTTTTCGAGGTATAATATGATTAGGTTAGTTAGGAGATTAAATTTAGTGAGCATGTGGAATAAAAACATAGTGCACTATAAAATAGACACACTGTAGTTACCACTCTTCATGTATTTTCTTCATATATTTTATGAAAATACTTTTTTCTTACAGTTGGCAAATAAATACTGGGCTCCACATGTGAAGAAAAAATTACCTTTTGATTTAAAGGTAAACACTTGGATTATTACTTGCATTGATATTAATAGATGTAATAGAGTTAAGGATGCTTATAAAATACTTGGCTAATAGCATATAAGAATGTTTTTTTGTTTTAGGTTTTCAAGAAAATGGAAAACCCAGTAAAATATACTAGATAACCAATGTCGATACTCTATCTTTTGTTGCTATCTCTTGAAAATTTCCCAAAACAGCTTAGTTAACTTATCATGGTAATATTTCTGATTTTATTGGCAAATTCACTTGCATGTTCATACAGCTCCAATCTTTCAAATGCACACGCTTAATGTTGTGTAGGATTAGGAAGTGGTACTAAACCCATTTATTCATGTTTCAGTATTATCACTCATATCACAGCAGAATTTTCTGAGGATTTTTCAATCCATTGCTAACTTTGCATACACAGCAGCTTACCTAATAGTTATCTATATAGTACATCAACTGTTCCTTCAACATGTTGAAGCACTGCAATTTTCTACGTATCAGCAATGTTAGTTTTTTATGTAAGGCTACTTGTGTAAAGTTAAATATGCGTGTTTGCAGGATCAGGCATTGTAGAGCATCCATAACTACTTGTGGGGGATTATATGCCATAAAATATATGTGCACAATATTTTTTAGTTCTGAAAAATTCTGCAAATTATTTTATTTGTTAAAATAACCAATATAAAGTTCCTGCTGTGAGCCTTGTACAACTGGGGCTGTGAGTGGGCAGGAAAATCACAAATTCTGCTGTGTGACACGGGGAGGGGTAAAATTCTATGGGGAGAATATCAGTTCTGTGTAAATTCTGCATTACACAGTGGTGCAGAATTCCAGCAGCAGTAATCCAAACCAACTTCGGTTCTGTGTACCCAATAACTCTAGGTGAATAAGTGGATCTAATTTCGGTAGATTACACAATAACATTTCTCGGGCTTTAGCTATGATTTTGTCTGCATTATAAATAAATTGAAACTGAACTGTTATTAGCTCATGTATCTGTTATAATTGTATAATAGATGACTCCTTAATGTTCTGGATGTTTTGATGCATCGAATTATCTTTGATGCATCAAATTATCTCCATCTGTAAAATTCTTTCCTACTTCAAAATGATGTTGTGGGGACACATGCGGTGAAAGATTGTGAAACTTTAAGATTCACCAATGAAATGCATTATGTAAAACATTGGTATATATTATTAGCATTACACAATTAAATTTAGAAATATGTGCTCAGGAGTGCTAACATTTTAAATACTCTTTGTCAACATGACTAGCAGTGTCTGATATCTATGGAAGCTTTTAAGCCGGCTCCCTCCAGCACCGGCTCATGTTCCTCCTCCTCCCTTTGCTGTTTTTCACAGTGGCAGCAAGGCTGGGAGGAGTGAGTAGTCCTCCAGTCAACTACTCAATAAGCTTTTGCTTATAAATGTATAATTATGAACTATTACAGGTAGCTTCTGTGTGCTTTGCAGGGATAGCCCTAACATTCAATCTTGTTTAAAGGAAGCAAAAATAATGAAAAATACAATGTGTGGTTGCTGCATGAAGTTCTGTAGGGACAGTATTGTCTAGCATACAAATCATGTGTATGTTTACACTACTTGAAAAAAATCTTAAAGGGGTCTGAATTTTTGAGGGCAATTCTGCAATACTTTTTGAACATCAGGCCTCTTTAAAATATCTCAGGATCTGTGAATGGAAAATGCAATAAGAATACAAGTTATTATTGATGTAATTGAGGACTCACAAATGTTAAATGCATAGCATCTAGTGAATGGCATTTCTGATTTTAGAAACCTTAATGCCTGGAATATAAAATGAATACAACAAAAGTATTAACTCTTAATTAATACAATTTTTAAATATCATTTGCAATAGGTTATTGAAGAAGTGTATGCAAAAGAAATTGTCAAATCAAGGTCAGTACAATGTTGCTCCTTTATTATTCAGAACATGCTGAATACATATATCCATGTTGATTTAAAGTACAGGCAGTCCCCGGGTTATGTACAAGATAGGGACTGTAGGTTTGTTTTTAAGTTGAATCTGTATGTAAGTTGGAACTGGCGTCCAGATTCAGCCGCTGCTGAAACTGATCAGTTTCAACAGTGGCTGAATCTGGACGCCAGTTCTGACTTACATACAGATTCAACTTAAGAACCCCAGGCATCCCCAAGTCAGCTGCTGCTGAAACTGATCAGCGGCTGATTCCAGGAAGCCCGGGGCAGAGGCTTCCTGGACACCTGGGGCAGAGCAGCTGGGGTGCTGCTGGGTTGGTCCAGTGGCACCCAGAGCGGCGCTACGGGACCAACCGGCAGCACCCCAGCTGCTGTACCACAGGCGTCCGGAGCAAAGCCGCGGAGCACGGGGGCAGCAGGACAGCCCAGACGCGCCGTGGCTATCCTGCTGCCCTCGGGCTCCGTGGCTTTGCTCTGCTTTGCTCCCCGTCCCCCTAGTCTGCAGACCAGGGGGACAGGGAGCAAAGCGGCGGAACACGCGGGCAGCGGGACAGCCCAGACGCGCCATGGCTATCCTGCTGCCCTCGGGCTCCGCGGCTTTGCTCTGCTCCCCCTCCCCCTGGTCTGCAGACCAGGAGGAGGAGGAGGGGGAGCAGAGCAGAGCAAAGCCACGGAGCACGCGGCCAGCTCAGACGCGTCTGGGCTGTCAGCTGGCCGCGTGTTCCGACGCTTTGCTTCCTCTCCCTGGTCTGCTGGAGACCAGGGAGAGGAAGGGCCCCGTTCGTAACTGCGGATCCGACATAAGTCGGATCCGCGTAACTCGGGGACTGCCTGTAGTTTAATAATATGAATGTTAAAAAATGATTGAAAAGTGTATTAATAGTCATTGGTCGATTTATGTGATTTCAGAGATTAAAGGCAAGCTTTCTTTATATCTACATTTCTTTAAGCATGATCTAACTAAGGTCCGATATAGTGAATAAATCGTACTCTGCATTCCATTCTCTGTTACCTTCATGTGATTTGTAGCATAAGGTGGTCTTTGTAGCAATTGTTAATTTTAGCCCCACCCCCACTTGGTTCCCATTTAATGGGGAAATGAATCTCTCCTTACTACCCTCTGCTCTTCCTGCAATTTATTCTTGTTTGAGATTTGTAAAGGAGCTGTCAGTGAGGGAGAACTCATTTTCTGGTTGTTTCATTTTCTTAGTTTATGAATAACTGTTTGCTAAAGAGAATGTATCATGTTCACAAACAATTGAACATATTCTAATGAGCATTAATGTTAAATAGAGAAGAGGATGAGGCAAAGCATTGTGTAAGGTTAACAACATTTCATGGCTGCATCCAGAGAGGAGGGAGCAGCAGCTAATAATATCCTTGAAGAATAATAGAGCCTTATAACATAACATCTTGGAGATCTCAGATTTTAAAACCTGGAACATGAATGCCTGATGTATAGTTACTTTATTTTTATCCCCTTTATCTATAAATTAACCAAAATCATTTGGATTAAAAATGACCACTTCTAGTTTTTTATTACAATGAATTCATGAGTTATTTCTTAAAAATCTAATCCATTACCTTTGAAAAATAGTTACCCAAGTTAATTTGGAATCCATGTAGCTGTCATTGCAAAGCAATGTCTGAAAGAAGTTGCACAGAAATTTTAGAAGAGAACAATATGTAAAGGGAAAGCTTTGCACTTCTTTTTCTGAGTCATCTACAAATAAGTATGAAAGGTATTATTTTTTCTGTTTCACTTTTTCTCCTTTTTTCCTTTTTAGATTTGCCATTAGGAAGATAATGCTTCTTGAATTTAGGTAAGTTTTAGAAAGAAATAAAAATTAGCTCTCTGTAATAACTGGTGAAAATAAAGGTGAGATGAAAGCTGATTTACTTTGCTGTAAGGCAGTATACTTCATCTGTTCCCACCTGCTGTGTGCTGCAGTTTAGGGACAGTAGCATGATTTGTTCACCAGGCAGGAGCTACAAATCTGATATTTAAAAATGGGTAAGAAAGTCTGCTTTATTGTTTCAAGTTCATTGTGATGGATTTAAATATAGACCACAGAAAAATTAAAAGTATGAAATGCCAACATTAATTGTAATTAATGTTTTATTTCACTGAGATTTCTCTAGCTCACCCACTGGGGAGGTAGCATGAAGTGGCACTTCACCAACACTAAACAGTCTCTTCACCATTGTGAATCACAAGTGTTTTTTATCCCTTTTTTTGCTAATGAGTGATGAAGGGAAGGAATGTAATGTACAAATGCAGCCATTTATTGGAAAAGTAGGATAAACTTAGAAACAAAATGGTCATTTTTTAAATGTTGGCATTTTCTCCTTTTTTTTTTCCTTTTTATATAGGAAAGTAAAATTCTGGTTTTGAATGGGATTTTTAAGTAGCTTCTTACTTCATTTCCAGCTGGTATAGATATCCTTATAAAGAGAGTTTCTGTAGCATTCACTATTCCAATAACCCCATTCTTTAAATTGTGTTAGAGATTCTTCATGCTGATACTGCACAGTATATACTTTCCATTATTTCCCTAAACCCCATGTCTTTTCTCTCTCTCTTCCCTCCCCCGCCCCCTTCCACTCCACAACCCTATCAGAGCCTCAGTCTTTTTTCCATTTTCATATTTTTTCCATTTTCATATTTCCCTGTCCCTGGGGCCACATCAACTATCATTCTATCAATTGAGGATGACTATAAGCATCTTTGCAAGAAGCAGAAAATATTCAAATAATGGAGAGAATTTCTGAGAGGTGACGTGAGGTCACTTACCTTTAGGGACACTCTCCATACCCTGTACCCAATCGTGCAAACTGTCCATATGTGCAGCTTCTAACCAGTTATTCCGGGAGGACTTGCAGGATCAGTTGTCCATTTTTAGACTGGCCATGTACAATTTGTCCTTGGAATACAAGTCCGTTTGGTCAAAGAAGTTGTTTCTAAGGCACAGCTCTTGGTGTGCAGGACTGTATATACTAGTGGTCCCCAACACGGTGCCCACGGGTTCCATGGCGCCCGCGGGGGCATTTGTGTGCGCCCGCCAAGTGCTCGGGGCTGGCCTGGCCCCGGGCACATGGCGCATGGTGAGTACCGGCCCCGGGAGCGCCGCGGATTGGCCGCCCGCGCTCAGGGCGTGTGACGCTTGAGGGGGGAGGGGAGCGCCGGCCCCAGGCGCGCGGCTATGGGGGGGCCCCGCACTCTGGTGCCCAGCAGGCGAACGGCCCCCCTGGCGCCCGGCAACCTAAAATGTTTGGGGACCTCTGGTATATACTTATGATACAAAATTGGGGTGTTTTTTGGTGTTCTTTATAACTATTGGTATAGTTCAGCTTGTATCAGTGGCTAGCCTGAAGTTTATTTTCAGATGGATAAGTATTTGTTTATGAAATATTTGTAATGTTTGGGAGGAAAAATTACACATATACACTCATCTTTATATGTAAGTAAATGCTGCCTAAAATAATAAAAATATAAGAATGCAAAAATAGTTGTTAATTGCAAATTAAGTAAGCAGCATTCCTTTATTAAAACCATTCTATTGCAAACTGTTATATTTCAAAGCTTATTTATTTTTGATAAAGGGCTTTAGTGTACCTATAAATTATAAGCAAGGTATGGATTTGTGAAGTTGAAGACCACACTGTACCATATTAATTGGAGGGTTTTTAATTGTAAAGGTGTTAAATTGTAATTGACTAATCGAATAGTTGATGCATTTTGCATTGACTATTTGATTAGTCAGTAGGGCGCCTCTGCCTTTGCAGTGTGATACTTCAAAGGCAAAAGCACTGTGTGGAGCCCAGGGTCAGCAGGGGACTCCCCCACTGACCCTGGCCTCTATGTGGTGCTGCTGCTTTGAAACGCTGTGTGGAGTCCGGCATTGGGCTCCCGGTGGCATTTCGAAGCAGCGGTGTTTCAAAGTGGCAGCGCCACGTGGAATCTACAATCAGCTGGGGACTCCCCTGCTGAAACTGAGCTCCATGTGGTGGTGCCGCTTTGAAACACCATGTGCAGCCTAGGGACACCCCAACTGGCCCGGGCTCCATGTGGCACTGCTGCTTTGAAGTACCCCTTCTCTTCCCCCTCTTTCCCCCCCTTGTTGCCTCTCTCTGATAAAGGCAGCAAGGGCAGGGGAAGCAACTAGTCCTTAACATTCCTAGAAAATACCTAATTTGATATCCTTTTAAAATGCAAAAGTTAGAGCTCTGTTTCATGTTTAATTTTTAGTGGTTTGAATCTATTTGTGGAATTTTTGTAATTAGTACTATTAATGGTTTTACTTAAGTACTTAATTTGGGCTCATGTCCTATCCTCTCAAAGAAAAGCCTGGGGGTCTCAAATACTCTGTCCTCCATTCAGTTCACTATGCCACATTTCCTTGTATGCTTCCCTCAGGAGTGAAGGATTCAGCAGATTGGATATTGCCTATTTTGTAGTACTCTGTCTTGGCTACCATCAAGAATAGAGACCTGTTTTTGTCAGAAGTGACCCTGATTCATCTCTCTTGACTGACATCTATTTTTAGAGTTGTTTTAAAGTAGAAGGCTTTAGCCTATCCGTAAGGAAGGAAAAAACAACCTCCCAGATAAGACTTTACAAAAAAACCAAGCATATCAATACTTTCCCTATTCCTCTTGAGTCCAGTTGTCATACACACCACGGGGGCGGGCTTGCAGTCTTTGAAAGGAAGTTGGAGAAAGTAAGGTCAAATCATGGCACTAAGAAGGTTTGATTATTATTCTGGACTCAGCCACTGTGATCCTGGGAAAATCACTTAACTATTCTATGACTGTTTCCCGTCTGTAAAACTAGGATAATTATACTTACCATGTTTTAGTGTATATAACCTGCAGGTTATGCAAAGTTTTACAAACCTCCCCTTCTCCCCCCACCCCCATGGCTATCAGTAAAAAAAATACAGGTTTTTTTTTTTTTTACTGAAAGTACAGGAAGACAAGACTGACTCTTATTTGATAAAAGTAGCATATTTTAATTTAATAATTAAGGCAGTTATGTTAAAATACATTAAAATACATTCTTTTACTGTGCAACTAGTAATAGAATAAATATATGGTAAAACTATTTAAAAAAAAAAAAGCCATCTTCGCATTGTCATAAAATACATAAGATCATTCACTCTGATCTCTAGAATCAGCGCCAGCAGCATCCTCCTCAGCATCTGAGTTTTCAGAACCATCAAAACTTTCATCGTAGTCACGGTCCACAAAAAACATCCATAAAATCCATAGCCAAGGCTAGGTAAGCTTCAGTGACAGTTGAGGTCTGTGGTTTGTTGAATCACTGCCATAGTCGGATTCAGAGTGAGAAGAGTCAACATCGGGAAGAATGTCACATTTACGGAACCCATTGCGAGTAGTAGCTGGTTTTATTCTGTCCCAAGTAGCCAAAACCCATCTGCAAACTTCCAGTTGCACGGTGCAGTGAATTTGTTCCTCATTTGTCATCCAATTGTCCCATTCCTCTCGGACGAAGCACTTGAACGGGTGGTTGACAGCCACATCAAGTGGCTGCAACTTGCCCGGTCAGCCCACCTGGAATTATGGCAATATGTGCACCCACAAAGTTTATATGTTTCTGAACTGAAGTTTCTTTGTGGGCGGCCAAGGAATCTAAAACCAGCAGAGATTTTGGATTCAAAAAACTACGTTTTTGTGCACGAAAGCAGCTGTCTGTCCACATCTTCATAACATCTGTGTTCATCCAGGCCTTTTTGTTACAAGCCACACAAATGCCAGCCGCAGTTTCTCTCTAGGCATTGTTACCCTCTTAAAAATCACTATAGGTTTTAATTTATCACCATTTGCCGTGCATGCCAACACTACAGTAAAACAGGTGCGTTCATGACCGGTGGTTGGTACACAGACTGTTTTTGTTCCAGTTTCCGCAACAGACCGAGTAGGGGGTATATCAAATGACATGGGCACCTCATCTATGTAAATAATGTTGCTTGGTTTCAAGCCCAGCTGGTGAATTTCTTTATGTACAAAAGTTTTTAAAATCATCCATTTTCTTTTCCCATTTGTCGGGAAGCTGTTGGCCAGGAGATGTCCGTGCGTGAACTGACAGTTTCTCCACATAAATTTGTACACCCAATTTCTCGAGCCCCCCCTTAAAATAATAGATTTTCTGCTCCATAGCCGTTAGTCGAGCTTTGAGTTGTATGGCTACTGTTGACACCACCCGTTTGCTCTCTCTCTGTGTACGAACCCACTTCAACAAGTTTTCTTCCAGATTTGGCCACTTGACTTTCTTTCCGCATCGCACTCTTTTCCTAGGGTGTAATTGTTCAAGTTCTGCTTCTTCCTTTCTCTACTCCCGAACAGACTTTTTGTTCACAGAGTATTTTCTCCCTGCTGCTCGGTTTCCATTGTCCTTTGCATATGTCACAACACGCAATTTAAAATCGGATGTGTAGAGTTTGCGCTTAGGCATGTTTAAAAAGTTTAAAGTACTTTTTAAAAATTCAGTACAAGTTAAAACTACTAAAGGAATACATGGATAGTAAAATAGTGTGGTTCAAAGGGGTTATATGCCAGCGATAAGGTTTCTAGCATACTTACTACTCATCGTCATCAGCTTCGGCTCATTAACACTTCATTACTGTTCATTAACAGTACATGCGGGGGGGGGTATGTAAGACTATTTTTATTCAGTCAGGAAAAACTGTGGGTTATACATGGGTGCAGGTAATACTCGTGTGCGGGTTATATACGCTAATTTACGGTACCTACTTCACAAGGCATAATGTGAGGCTAAATCCATTAATATTTGTGTGATGCTCAGGTGTTGTTGAATTAGAATTGCTGTAAATAAATAAAAATGGGCTCGTGGAGTTTTTGTGGGTTCTGCAGTTGCAAAGTCAAACAATTTAGGTTTTGGGATCTTATTCAGTCTAATATGTTAATTATTTTAGATTGCTTGCCATGTGGAATTACGCTACAGGCAGTCCCTGGGTTACATACAAGATAGGGACTATAGGTTTGTTCTTAAGTTGAATTTGTATGTAAGTTGGAACTGGTACATATTGTAGGGGAAACTCTAGCCAAACATTTCTCCAGAGTTCAGTTTTATTCTCCTATACCTCACTTCCCTCAGTCCTTTATTCTCAAGCTGAGGTGTCTGCTGAGAAAAGCCGCTCCGCGTCTCCCTGGTCTGCTGGTGGGGGCGCTAGCTTTGCAACTCCCTCGTCTGCTGGGAGGAAGCAGCTAGTGCGGGGTTGCCCCACCCCGTTTGTAAGTAGGGATCTGATGTGTAAGTTGGATCCATGTAACCCGGGGACTGCCTGTATTTTGTTTCCTTTGTAGAGCAGTTATATGTATAATCTATTCTGATGCTTAATCATTTTCTGTTATCAAGTAAAATATATAAATAATATTTTTCATAAAGTGTAGTGCTATGCCATAGCGTATTCTGTCATGAGAGAAAGTTGGCATTTATATCCGAGTACTAGAGAAGATGTCTGAAGCATTCATCATATGCAGGAGATTGAGTTATTCTATTCTATTGGCAAATCAACATGCAATATTGTCCGTCTTACAGTATGGTGCTGTGAGCACCTAAGGCATATAAAAACTCTTTAATCAACAGTCTTCCAACTGAGGATAGTTGATCTTTCTTCATAGGTTGTGCCCATCCAATACGTTTTTGCTGCAATGACCTAGATTAGATGTAACTTCAAGAACTACTCACAAGTTGTACAGATGGATTTTAAAAAAATCTCCCCCCCCCAGATAAGTGACAGAGTAGGTGGGTTGTGGAAACTAATGAACTATTTCTCTTCGCAGCCAGTACCTTGAAAATTACCTGTGGATGAATTATTCTCTAGAGGTGTCCAGTAAGGCGTATTTAATGTCAATCTGCTGTATGGTGAATGAGAAGTTCAGAGAAAACGTACCTGCATGGGAGGTAACCAATTTCAGTTGCAGTTGGCATTGACTTTGATCTACAAGTTACAGCTTTCACACTGTGCCCATTTAAATTGATGGAAGGTAGCAGAGCTTACAATGTTGAAAGTAAATGGTGGATTTTCTAGGTTGTCTGCTAGAGCACTTTAAACACTTGCAAGTTCTTTTTTGAGAAAAGCAGTGGATAGGTAAATGATTTCTTTTCATAGGGATTTCTCCTTTGAAATGAAATCATTTGTTCTGCTGTGTAATACCTTTGCATTTCAGATATCTTTCTCTCACTCCCTCTCTCCGGAATTCGGTGAAGGTTTATTTTCTGGTAGTAGGAAAAAATGCTGAGAGGAAATTACATTTGTGTATGTCGAAATGTGTCACTGAAAGTAAGATGACTATTTTATTGGTCAGTTTCTTGTTTTAAATCTTAAGTATATTTTTGTAACTTATAAACTGAAAATGTTTTATGTATAATATACTTATTAACTAGTACAGAATATCATTTCTAAAGTAAACCTCTTATTTTTAAACATATATAATATAAAAAATAAAAGCAGGTATCAGTATAATTCAGATTAAAATATAATATGCAAACCTTAGAGCAGAGCCATACATCCCACCTAATATAATTTGCTGATTTAAAAAAAATATTTTAAAAATTAGTGATCACCATTAAATGTAAACATTTACCATGTTTTTTTTTTTTTAAACAGAACACTAATCTTATTTTACCTTACTGCTTTCTAAATATAGGCGATAGTACGGTAGTCAGTAGTGTATTAGTTTACTTTTCAATAGTGCCCATGGTATTGATCTTACAAGAGAAAGGGAAAGGAATTACTTTGATGTTAGTGAAACATGTTGGATGAATAACCTGGAAGAGTGAAACTGTTTGCCTGAGTCTCTGGAGTTTCTGAATCATGAGAAATGACAGGTGCAAGCCTCTTCACACTTTTCTATCCATTCACTTGAACCTGGAGGGCATTTGCTTTTCTTTGCTGAGATTGTTGATAAGAGTGCCCCATTATAGCTTTATGGAGGTAGGAGTTAGAGCAAGACTGCTACCATTTCCCTGACCAGCACACAGCTGTCAGTTTTTTAAAGTCAGAATCTACTTGTTTCACTGATACTGCCTGGCCCTGGGCACAGATTACAGTGGTGGTGATGGGCGTAGGAGCCGATTTAACTGGTACTAGTTGGTAATAGTCCCTCAGGAACATCTTCTAGCTGAGCCTAACTAGAACATGAAGCACTCCCACAAGGTTCTGACATACTTTGTCCCCAGCACACCATCTGTGCCAGATCCTGTGCTCTGCCCTGTGAACTCCCTCGCAGCATGGGAATTCTGGAAAAGTTGCATCTGGCCAATCTCTGCTCCATTTGTTTTGTGTGACAAGCATAAACTGATCAAAATAGGGCAGAGAACCAGCACAGTTTTTCATGTGTGGATTTTGTTGAGACCTTGTTCAAAATTGTGGGTTTTTTTTTAATAGACCGTAAATAGTTTTGACTGGAACTAATTGAAAATACAACTTTCCCTTGTATTCCTAGACATTCAAAAAGAAGCCAGAACACTTTCCTTTCTTTTTCAAATGTATATTGGAAGCATCATTAGATGAGAGTGACAGTGAACTGTCACTACATGAACAGACAGTTCTCCTGCTCTTCCTTGATCACTGTTTCAACAGTTTGGTAAGTTGTACTGAACATGTTGGAATATTTTTCATATGCCTGTATTGTTGCAGTTGAGAGCTATTTGATATTGGCATAGAAAGTACGCTTATTAAGTTTGCAGATGATACCAAGCTGGGAGGGGTTGCAACTGCTCTGGAGGATAGGGTCATAATTCAAAACAATCTGGACAAATTGGAGAAATGGTCTGAGGTAAACAGGATGAAGTTTAATGAAGACAAATGCAAAGTGCTCCACTTAGGAAGGAACAGTCAGTTTCTCACCTACAGAATGGGAAGCGACTGTCTAGGAAGGAGTACGGCAGAAAGGGATCTAGGGGTGATAGTGGACCACAAGCTGAATATGAGTCAGCAGTGTAATGCTGTTGCAACAAAAGCAAACATGATTCTGGGATGCATTAACAGGTGTGTTGTGAGCAAGACACGAGAAGTCATTCTTCCGCTCTACTCTGCACTGGTTAGGCCTCAGTTGGAGTATTGTGTCCAGTTCTGGGCACCGCATTTCAAGAAAGATGTGGAGAAATTGGAGAGGGTCCAGAGAAGAGCAACAAGAATGATTAAAGGTCTAGAGAACATGACTTATGAAGGAAGGCTGAAAGAATTGGGTTTGTTTAGTTTAGAAAAGAAGATTGAGGGGGGACATGATAGCAGTTTTCAGGTATCTAAAAGGGTGTCATGAGGATGAGGGAGAAAACGTGTTCATGTTGTCCTCTGAGGGTAGAACAAGAAGCAATGGCCTTAAACTGCAGCAAGGGACATTAGGAAAAAGTTCTTAACTCAGGGTAGTCAAACGCTGGAATAATTTGCTCAGGGAGGTTGTGGAATCTCTATCTCTGGAGATACTTAAGAGTAGGTTAGATAAATGTCTATCAGGGATTGTCTAGACAGTATTTCATCCTGCCATGGGGGCAGGGGACTGGACTCGATGACCAATGGCCTTAAACTGCAGCAAGGGACATTAGGAAAAAGTTCTTAACTCAGGGTAGTCAAACGCTGGAATAATTTGCTCAGGGAGGTTGTGGAATCTCTATCTCTGGAGATACTTAAGAGTAGGTTAGATAAATGTCTATCAGGGATTGTCTAGACAGTATTTCATCCTGCCATGGGGGCAGGGGACTGGACTCGATGACCTCTTGAGGTCCCTTCCAGTCCTAGTAGTCTATGATGCTATGATTTACAGTAAACTTCTGATAATCCAGCACCTTTAGGACCCAGGGGGTGCTGGATTATCAAATATGTCGGACTATCGGAAGGGGGGGCTATGAGGGGTCTGGGGTGGGGTGGGGGGGATGCCACACCAGACCCCTCATAGCCCCCCCTTCCGATAGTCTGGCTCTGCCCCAGGCGTCCCCGATTCAGCAGCTGCTGGTCAGTTTCAGAGCAGCTGGGGGGCTGCCGGGTTGGTCCCCTAGTGCCAAAAGGCGGCGG